TCTATATGTTTGGTTTTTTGATTGCTCACACGTGCGTTTGAATTATGTACTTTTTTTTTTTTACTCTTAACTCGATCACTTGATGTTTTTCCTCCTCGCGGTGGATCGAATACTCCGTGAGAATATAGGTGTGAATGCTAATGGGCCCATATTGAGCTTTTCGCATTTGGAGCGAGTACAATATGTACAAAATATAAAGGCATCGGGTAAAAAGCTTGTATATAATATTGTCTCAGATAATGTTAAATATAGGTATAGGCACAGCCGAGTGCACATTATATACTTGCCCGAAGGAAGAAGGAGAAAAAAGACCTTGTACGAGCAGGGCTTGAAAACATAAGTACATTTTACGTATATACGTAAACACGCAAATACATATATTATATACTTGCGACATACATTGTGTGCTAGTGGGCTTTTGTCGACTACACGTATTGCCCCGTGTGTGAGTACAAGAACACAAATATTTTACACGCGAACATTCTTATACACGAAGCGCAAACTCGTTCGTATGTGTCGTTCAAAGCTTGTATGACGAGCAATATTGTGTTTCCTCGTGTGCTCTACAAGATTATAATATATAAAGTAGTAGTCTTTTCGGTACGAGGTGTAACACGAGTTTGTCAATACATTCGATTGCTGGTTTTTTTTTTTTTTTTGTTGCGAATTTCAATGTAATTCGAAGGAAAAACAATTGTTGTTTTACGTGCAGCCTGTCAATTTGTTGGAGTCATTTTGAAGAAAAATAATTGGTAAGTAACTAGTATAAGACTAAATTAAAAACCATCGAGTTTTTTTACAGATACGTTTTAACAGCACTGAAAGTGAAACAGTATAGGGATTCCTTGCATTTTTCAATGAAATTTTTTTTTTTAAACACGCCTAATACTCTCAGCACAATTAAATATACGGTTTTAGGATAAAATAAATGAATCATGCGTATAATATGTATGAAATAATGAATCAGGTACGAAAAAATGAAGGTCGTAAATGGTGTCACCAGCTACACGCGTCGAATCAACCAATTAATCTAATCTGTGACAAACGCTTTAAAATATACATAAGCACCGCCTCCACGACACATCGAGCCCGTTCGGCCGAAGGAACAGGTTTCCCCGAAACTTTACGAGAATCCGAGATTCGGCGGGACTCGAGAGAAAAAAAAACAAACCCGTTTTGATAAATTTAAACGATCTCGTGGGAACTCCCGATACACGAATTTACATCGATTTGCCATGAAAAAATCAATAACTCGATGAAACTGGTGTACACATCAGAGAATCCCAAATGTCTCTCCATGTGAAAGAAAAAGGGAAAGAGTCAACGCCGCAGTTTATTTCGGTCGGGGGTTAATTAGCGCTGCCTTGCGACATTTCGCCGCTTGAAGGAAAAAAAGAGAAAAAACACAAAATGTGAGGGTACAAGAAAGCTCGGGTGCATTTTTTATCCCCGCGAATCCAAAAATCAGCATAAATTACCGGTTCGACTGAAAAACCCTCTACGACAACGCGACTTTCAGCTGCCCTCGTTAGCGAGCCGATTTATTNGTGGGAATGCCCACGGAGATCCGGGAGGGATTGAGAAAAGAGATGGGCATCACAGTACATACGGGTACACCTAACGTCGTGTTCGCGAGTGCACCACAACGCGTATTTTGGCTTATTCGGTGGAAAATGTGATGGATGATGGGGAAAAAAAAAAAAAAAAAACAACATAGGTGTATCCACGAGCTCGATTAACTGCCGATAAATCCAGTCGGATGCGAGAGAGTTTTGTCTCTGGGGCCGTAAATTACATGCCCGTTTCAACTCGTCCTTTTTTCTTTTCTTTTTGTTCAATCCTCGGTGATATTTATTTACGAGGAGCTGGTTAGCGACGGGAAGGCGTGTACGGAGTCGAAAAGCCGGCCAAAACGGTTGATAATCGCGGCACGGAGAACAAGGGGCATTAGGCTTGTTTTCCCCCGAGCCCGGACATTCTTTTCGAGCTATGATCTTCCATCGGTCGGTCCCATTGTTGCACGCAGTGACCTTCTCGAGCAAATCTCAGGGGAGACGATGACGCCGGCTACGTCTGGACGCAGCTTGATTTACGACTACGGCTGATGCGCTTTAGGTACACGCATACAGTGACTAGCCCTTAAAGTATGTATATTGTACAGCGCCTAGTCGGACATGACGCTCCTGAATGTAAATGCCACGCGAGCCGTGTTTTTCGATGGGTAAGACATGCTTTTTTCACAACCAATGCCTGTCGGGTGTGACCCGCTTTTGAGGAGACTCCATGAGTCTGTACCGTCAATTGTTCAGATCGCCAGAGGGAGTAAATACATGATCCGAAGGTACGTTTGGTAAAGTACCTGTACATCTGTAAGTGTAAAGGTTTCCATGTTATTACCAGTTTTTTTGTCTTTGGTTGGTTTACTGCCCTTCCGTGGCGTCGCTGTGTGACGTGGATATACTTTTGGTGGCTTCAACTGTTCAACCTGAAACAAAGGAAATTTTTGATTCCAAAGAAAAATTGTAAATTTTCAGTTTGTAAAAAGTCTCGCCAAACTTTGTCATATAATGGCACTTGGTCCAAACCAATATTTGGCGATTTTCATTTCCAAGTATTATATACGCTGAAAGACTCCGTTAAACTTTACACTTTGCGAACAGGTAGTTTTTGCTTATATTTTTGCTCCAACATTGGTATTAACATGCAGTTCAACAGGCAAAGAAGTTGTTATCCGATAGACGTGTAAAACAAAAACGGGCAGAGAATTCGTCGGCAAAGACACAAGAAACATATAAAATTAAGCACAAGAGCGTTGTAAACTGCGACAACCCACTCTAAGTATATCCTCTGCTCCGCCAATTTCCCTTTTCGGTGGGCCAGACGAAAAATAGATAAGCGGCCTTGGAATCGTCCAGAAATTCCATACGGCGACCAATGGGCCATGAAATCATTTCGGCCGAGAGACAGTGGCGGCGGCGGTGTGCTCTCGAACGAAGAATCCGTGGCCTCTAATGAGCCGCGAGGACGCAAATCCACCGAACGGGAGGAGGAGCGTCGGCCGTCGGACCGTGTGTGCCCGATGGCTCGAGAGGAAGCGGATCTTTTTTTTTTTTTTTTTTTTTATGCTCACCCACCGTGAATGATATTAATTTTGGTACTTTTTGTTTCGTCCACTTTGCGCATCTTCCAAGAGAAAAAAAAGTGCAACAAATAATGGTAAAACAGGTTATAGGTACTACTCGACAAATTGTACGTGTACAACTCAAGTTTTACTTTGAAAACGGCAGGTACACTAAAATAACAAGACAAAGTATCTGTCTTTTCATTATTCCTATCGGCAGCCCATTAAATATTATCACTTTGGAACACCAACGCGCGGCTATACTTATTAGACGATAAACCTTTTTTTTTTTTTTCTCCTATTGTTTCAACAAACAAGTAAAGTAGAAATTTTTTTCTTTTTCAAGAAATTATCCCCACTCTAACGTCTCTGCTTATCGTTCGTATTGTATTTCGAAGGAAAAAAAAAAAAAAATAAAAGGTATCAACAAAGCGTCGCATTTCGCTCTGACGTTCGTAACGTTAAACGTCTCGGAAGCAATTAGCCAAACACAATGGGACTCCGAAAACCTCTTGCTCCTCCGTTCGAGCGTACACGAAACATATAGACACTAACAAAAAAAAAAAAAAAAAAAAAAAAAAAAAAAAAAAAAAAAAAAAAAGGAAGTCCGGGACAAATTTAACAAGCTCAAGGGTCTTTGGTATACATAATATATGCATATACACGTACACGCTCCTCGGTTGAAAAAGCTTTTCCGCTCGAGCGTCATCGCGACGGAGCCTGCAAAATTCCGGATAATCTCGGTCTCCGTGACGCTTAAGGGATCATCCCCGTTTGACCAGGAGCTAATCACCTGTTGGTAATTCCCCGGCGCGGCATTAGCTCCCCGATTGAAATGTCCTCGATCGAAATCAGCGACAAAACAAAAACGGCCACTCCAGATTTCCCGAGCTGTACACAGAGGGGGGAGGAAGAGAAAAGTTGACAAGAGTAAACATACCCTCCTTGTTCCGTCGCGGGGGCCGTTTGTAGCCGACAGAAAAACGGCTCTCGCACAGCGCGCCCTACACGAGCCCCCGCGGCCGCAGAGAGGGTTTGCAAAGTTAGGGGCTGCACGCACCCCTCCCCTACGTCCCACGCGCTGCTCCAAAAACGGAAGGGATCCACGAGGAGTCCCCCGAGGGCGTGGCCCCCCCAAGCCCCTCCCGGCTCCTCACCCGGCAACCAATCCATGGCCCCCGCGCCGCCCACGTGGCTGTGCGCGCACCGCTTCCCCGCCCTGCCATTGGCCGACGGGGGAGTCGAGCTCACTGGGTGGGGGAACCCAAGGGGCAGTGCCGGGGCTCGTGGTTTCGGGGTTCCGCCGGCAGAGGGCTGCCCTGCTCGCCGTCGTTGGGGAGAGAGAGAGGACGGCGGCAAAAGCCGAGCTGCGGCTGAAGTGGTGTGAGTGGAACGAAGTCAGTCGCAGACTGGAGCGCAGGGGACGGAGATCGCGCGCACCGGCCGTGTGCCCGACGACCAAGCACGGCTGCAAACACGCTTGTTTATTTGTTTGGCCGTTCGATCCTCCGGACCACTGGTTTTTTATCCGCGTCTCTAATATACACCTCCTCGCGTTGTGCGCGTCCGGTTCACTGTAGGGCTCTGTTTTGCGTGACTTGGGGCTTCGATAAAAGGGGGAGGTGAGGACGATGAGGCGGCTCAGGAAGAGGCTCTCCTAGTGGCACGGCCCTTAGAGGGGGAGCTTGTTTTTGCCGTCGGACGAGTGCAGAGCTAAGTATATATACATATATACAAAGTGCAGTGAGACTCCCCTTGCTCCGCTGCTCCGAAAGTGCAGCGGGACTGTCGAGTGTATAGTTGTGTTCGAGGACAAAACAACGTGGTTATCAGACGGGGATAAGGGAAGGAAAAAAAAAAAAAAAAAAACAGCCACCACGACGACGGACGACAGGCAAGACGAAAGAGACACGGAAGAAGACGACGACGTCGACGACATGTCGGCGTACGCGCAATTCGGATACTATCCGACGGCTTCGCAGGTAAGCACCCGATGGGGTTTCTTTTCGATCGATTGTTGACGCGCCCGCTTATGCTGCTGTCTATGTGTGTATATGTTACATAGGCTCTATCCTTTTTACTCAATCCCCTTATAGTCGTACACCTCTTTTTTTTCTGTCGTCCAGAGGCATAATTTTTTTTTTTTTCTCCCTTTCGATGCAATCGTACGCGCCAGGTATACAGGGTTTGTTTCGCCCCGAAACAAGGGACTCTCGTACAATGATATTTTAAACGGTACATTTATGATATAATTAATATCATCGGGTTGTGACTCCGTTGATTTTTTGATACACTGTTGTAGAGACGACGTTATTGAATATTCGTCGCTGGTCAAGTGTTCAATCGGAGTTTTTTTTTGTTTTTGTTGGTACATTCGATGCGTCCGATCGATGATTGATTGGTGGATAGCACTTATTATCACGTGGAGTACGACCGATGTGGCTAATACGTTATACTTTTTTTTAGATAAGATTACAACAAAGTCGTGTGGACGCGTGTTGAGGCACTCACCTCTAGGAGACGATTTATTTTATCGTTTAAACCACATTGGACGCTATTGTGTAGTATCGATAATTCTCCAAAATTCCTCACACTGAATTAAGTCATCTTCACAACTTTGCATGGCAAATTGGTTCCTAGTCATTATCGAATCTTACACGACATTGGAATAACTATGCTTACCGCTGTTTTATCTGTCAAGACGATTCGTTTCAAGTTCAATTTCACTATTATATTACAGACATCTCGTTTGGGCCAATCAACATTTTATGTAATATGTAGTTGAAATCCTTAATGTTTGGCTAGATGACAAAATTGATTGAAAAATACAAACATTCTCGTTTGAGAGTACAGACGCAGACTCGAAAAACTGCCTCATAAAAAGCAATGTCCACATGGGGATCAGATAAAAAATAATACCTATCAATTAAAAGAACGTCCGAAACAGTCAATAGATATATACTTCCATTACCATCCAAAAGATGAAAGAAAGAAAGACGGACATACAGACAGAGGCGGCGACGTGTCGGCGCACCTGCGCGCTGATGCCGTGCTCTGGCCGAGGGTACACCGTACCCTATATAATATACATGTGGCAGGCGTGCAACGTGCAGTGCCGTATGTATACCTATAGGTCATACATACACACCGATATATACTATACAAAAAACACACTTGGTGCTTTCTCGCGTGTTACCGTCGGCCGTCGCGCCTAATGCGGCCGGACAGGCCGCTTTTTCTCCCTCCCCTTGTATACATTGGTCGTCGTTTGCGTATAGGACCCGGTTGTTCGAGGATACGGGCAGCATCCACCCTTTCGTTTTTGACGCCTCCGATAACGATCTGATCCTTCAAGTGACGGAGGGACGACTCTTCGTATGGGTGTATTTTCTTCCTGACCCCCTCTTCCTCCGGGAGTAAGCCGATAGGCAAGGATTTTTTTTTTTTTTTTTTTCTTCGAGAGGAAGAGGCCTCCCTCTCTCTCTCTCTCTGGCTAAGTATTAATATTTCGCACCTCGAAATGTGCGGCAAGAATGTCCTCTCGAGCGTGGGTAACCGAGTGACGCTTCGGAGTTCGGGGGGTTATCGAGTGGCTTTTCAAAGAACCTCTTCCCGAGAATCTTGGGTGGATGGAAGTGCTTTTTTCGTATCTCAATCGAGGTGGGGCAGGGGGAGAGAGGGAGAGACAAAAAAAAAAAAAAAGAGGACTTTTCAATTGCTATCGCTCCCTATACGTGATACACACCCGTGCATCCACTCTTTAAATGCTCGCGCGTGCAATTCGTCATCGCGATCCAGGGGCTTAATTGCTCATTGTCGTTTGCTACGCTGTGTTTGCAAATTGACGTGTACATCGATAAAGGTACATGCTATTGCGTGTAAAATACTCTCGAACTCTCCGAGAGTTGAGCAGTTGGAACGATATTTTAAATCCCCGCGCGGCGATTGCGTGTGTACAACTTTTTTTTTTTAATCTAAAAAAACTTTCTGTTTTTTTTTTTTTTTTTCCATCTCCTCGCGCGATTGAGATAAACCATCATCGGCGGAGAAAAACAAATGTCAGCCGATCGAATCGCGATATTGTGTACAGCGCGAGAAAAACGGAGTTCTATAAATTACGTGCGTGCGCACACGCGTCGTGAATTACCATACGGAATGAGCAGCAAAGCAATAATACATAGAGAAACAAAAAAATTAAAAAACAAATAAACGAATTAATATGCGTGTACATAATAATGGAGATCGAGGAGGAGAAAAAGCGCGTCTCGATGCTGTAAGCAGTGAGAAACGAGTGTACGCGCGGCAATAAAGATAAAACTTACACGTGTCGGTGTGCCCGCGACTCATACATATATATATATATATATTCATGCGTATAGGTCACGAGTTGTATACTGCCTCCCCCACTCCGCTGATGTTTTCCTTCCCACACCGGACACTCGAGTCCACATGTAAAATCAAAGTATTACGCGTTTCCTCTGTACATAAGTACACGCACGTCATAAGCCGTCCCCCTCCCCCCCCCCAAAAAAGAAGGAGATAACATGCTGATAATTAACCCTATAGTCGACATGTAAACACATGAGTCGATGTACAGTGTACCGAGTGTTAATCTAAAATGTAATCGTGAAAACTCTGGAGCTTTGAATTTGATAGCTCATTAAAACACCGACGCAGAGCCTTGACTCGACGTCCGCACGAGTACAAGGTACCCCCAAGCCGAGCATTGTTTCGCGAAACAAAACTGCTTTCACTCGGCCGCGAGGCGCGAAAAGCGATCTTATTTGTTCGCGAATGAATAATAAAAACTCCCCCCCCCCTTGAGGAAAAAAAAAAAAAAAATTATCGATCCCGCAAAGATCGCCGAAAAATTTGCCTCGCTTCAACAACAACAGCAACAAGAGCGATGCATGAATAATGGAGCGAAACCGAACAATACGCTCGGGCTCGTCGTCCGTATATACATGCACACAAGTGTTTAATATACGCATTATTCCCTCGCGAGGAATTGCAAATCCCATCGTCGCTCCTCGATTGTTCGCGACCCGTGTGAAATTCGCCTTTGCTCGCTCGTTGTATATTATATAGGGAAAAATAAAGCGTGGGGAGAGAGAGAGAAATTAATTTTTCATTTGCGAAGTCGCTGTGTTTGTCGTCGATTTACTCCCAATGTTAAACTCGGATTCCAACTGCACATATGTGGTGTATTGAGACACACCATTAGCCGAAATACTTTCGGGACACCTGCGAGCGACGTTTGATTTTTGAGCGATAATTTGGTGCACACGATGTGTACATGTATAAAAGAGCCGAGAGGCATTTCTTCGTTGCCACCGAAGCCGACCAACGACGACAGCGGAGATAGTTGCGTAAGATTTCGTCGCCGGTATAATATACAACTATACGTGCATACACGGAGTTTGCACAACTATTACGTGTTTATGTATACGTGTATATATTTATATGACCAGGTGTACTTATCTGAGCTTTGATTCCCGGCTCGTTGGTTTATTGCCCGTATATTGCACGTGTGTACCTATGTTTAGCGGATACACGTACATACGTCTGTCTGTTTTGCGTACTTTTTTTTTCCTCCCGTATTTCGCGATAAATTTTTCTTCATTTGGTTTTTTTTTTTTTTTTGTACACGTGTAGGGTGCATCGTCTCTTTTGTGAATAAATAATGAGGATTTTTTTCTTTTTAGAAAATCATCGTGTTTCATCGGGACGCTATTTATTTCCTCGATAAACGCGAATTTTGTTGTTAAAAAAAAGCGTTTCTCGAGGAGCATATGTAAATAATTAACTTTACGTCGGATAAAAACCTCGTGTGGGTATCAAAACCGTGTCTCTCGAAATTTATTTCCCAATTTGAATGGCGCGCATTTTTTTTCCCCCCTCTCGAATTCAATATACTTTAAATTCAAATTTTTTCGGTCGCGTGTCGGCCAACGATTTATCGCTCGGTATTTGAAATTTCAGCGTAAAATATGTGTACGCACTCGTTTCATTGCAAAGTGTAAAATAAATACAAATATTTCAATCACGTGGCAAACGAAGAAAAAAAAAAAAAATACGAAAACTCAAAATCGGTATACGCACCGGCGACCAACGTAAAACGAAAGCGGCCTTTTATACAAATGACTAGTTAAAAAAAAAAAAAAAAAAACTACTCCGAGCTGCTACTGACCACTCGTTACTTGCAAAATTGCAACAAAAAAGATCTAAGAGCGTGCGCGAACAAAAAACGTGGACAATTTTCGTGTAAACTGTCGTCCAGGTTTCACCGGCGTATCACAGCACAGCGCACTATCAATTTATAGTTGCATCTATACCACAACTCCGACCTGAGTCGAGCGGGCATACTATGCAAGAACACGCATCATACCCAGCATACACGAGGAGAAAAAATAATCGATCGGGTGTATGTATGCATGTGTGCAGGCAAGCAGGGAAGGCTTGCAAGTCGTCAAGTGTGTGCGCGTGCGCCAAACGAAAGAAGAACGTACGCGTATATACATTTTACGTCTGGACGAGACAGACGCGAGTATAACTTTTCTTTTTTTGGACAGCTTTTGCGCTTTTTTTTCTCCACTTACATGCAAGCTTGACAATGAGTGGCTAATGAGTTTGGGCGATTTGTCCATTGCGTGGATAACTATGCGCATATAACTCTGGGTAAATAGATATTTATCGTTTCATTGGTGCTTTGTATGCCAAAGTTGGATGAAATTAACGATTAGTCGGACAACGCAAGGTACCTATTGTTCTAAATTTTTTTTTTAATATAATTGGCCGGACTTTTAGGTCGTTTTTCAAGTTGTCGAGACTGTTGGAATATTATTTGCAAAAGCACCAGAGTCCATTGGAATTTTTGAAAAGAAAAAAAATTGAAGCAGCGCACGTAACGAAGCTTCACGCGCGTGAAGTCGAAAAAGGGGAAATTTGAGTCCGAGACCTTCGAGAACCGCGACGATCTGGC